AGGATGTGTCTTATCGACAGAATCAAGATCAGAAATCGAAATCAAAAATCAGTTTAAGTCCTGAAGAGTCGCCCAAATTCGCCCGCGGTGTCTTATCGAGAAACCACCAAAATCAAAATCGAAATTGAGAAACACGGTGAAGCGCCCACTTCAAGCGGCGAACAGCCCGCCAGTTCCGTGACACGACGTCCGCAGCGTCGCGCCGCATCCCAAAAGAATGGCTCGCGCTCCTGCCAGCCGCCGCTCATGGCTGCGAGGAAAGACAACGAAGCGCATGAGACAGCTCCTGGAGCTGCTGATGATAATGGTGTTCATGGACGAAGGCGATCCCCCTCAGACCCGGGATAATTTCGTGCGCCGCGAGCGGAGGAGCTGGTACACCTACGCGTTGTAGTACCGCCCGTCACCGTTTGCCCCAGGCTGTGACATCGTCTCCTCTGCTTACTGCCGCTCGCGCGTGAGTGGTGGGTGTCCTCCACATGCCAAGATGCCAAGGCGTGGTCCTCGATGTGTCAAATCGGCACAAAAACCCGGCCCCTACACACCCAATAGCCCGCCACGTGCGCTGTTCGCAAAAGTCGACATCGATTTTAATGTTTTTGCATTTATTTGAGTTCGAGTTTAAGCATAGGAAGATTCCGTGCGGTCTCCATCCAAATGCTTCCGACGGACAGGTGGAAAGTTATTCCATCCAATCACAGCAGATGTTCGTTGGCTCTTCCAGGACTTGAACTGATTTTTTATTTCGATTTCTGATCTTGATTGAATCTGTCGATAAGACACATCATCCTAAGTCTAAGATGGATTAGCAATGAATCCATAGCGTGAGCGAAAGGCTACCTGTATGTCTACGGTTTGCCAGACAGCATACAACGATATCTCCCCTGTGGGTAACAGGCTCAACAAGGCAGTTTGTGTTGGGAAGCTGTTCACGGAAGATTTAGGGGAACTCGGTTTGTCGGGTGTGTTCTATTATGTATGGCACCCTTATGTGTTCGCGGAGCAAGCGCGTCTCGGGGTGTGTATATTTTCGTCATCATCAACTTATTTTTTGTGTGTGACGTATGGGGGCATGTGCGGCGCGGGAGAACATATTCACCTTGTTAATGGCATGTCGTTAAATGTGAGCAGGGCACGGGAGGGAGCACATTATTATCTCATCATTGCCTCCTGACGTGGCCGCCGATGGAGGCGTGTGATTGGGG